TGTGTGTGTGTGTGTGTGTGTGTGTGTGTGTGTGTGTGTGTGTGTGTGTGTGTGTGTGCATGGGCACAGTGGTGTCATCTGCCTGTCTGCCTATCTGGACTGGAAGTTGCCTCAAATACAGCTATAATGACTGGGCGTTCTATTGGGGTGAAGACGGTAGACTGCAATTACGGCCCTGCCTGGATGTATCTGACTGCGATTAAGTCCAAAAATAAGAAAAAAAGTTGTGATGGGGCTGAGGCAGAGCACCGAGGCCCGGGAAGAGAGAGGGAGGGAGTGAGAGCACACACACACACACACTCTACTTGACACAAACTCGACACGACTCGACGGACGCAGACACAAAGTCGCAAAGTCGCAAAGTCGCAATCTTGGTCCCGAACACAATATCACAGCAAGTCACACTGAAGCACAAGCACTGAGGCCGAAAACTGAATGCCCGAACTCAGCTCGAGTCCGGTCTCAAGTACCGGACTCGAGTTTAGTCCGAGGGCAGAAGTGCAATTTCCTTCGGGGCATCCAGAATGCTGGATGGCGCTAAGTATCGATCGAAATCCGAAAGGGCCAGAGGCGGGATTTGAGAACGGGCGCCAACTGCAGAGGGCGCCGACAATCAGGAACCGGAGATCAGACACTCAAAAAAAAAAATAATAGCAGCCTGGCTGGTGGTAATCGGCGGACCAGGGATCGAGCCCTGGCTGAGTCCGTAACACCATGTCAAGTGCGAGTACGCCCTCAGACTCGGTTAGAAAGGCCGCCTGCCAAGTTTGTCTGTTAAACGACTAATATCTCCGAGCCTCTTTTTGCCGAGGCGAAGTAGAACTGCACGCCAAGCTTTGACAAAGTGCCAATGCAACTTTTCTTCTTTCGTTTTGGCTGACGTCACGCCAGCCATTTTGGTGTCCGGTGGCGCCCGGCCTCCAAAAAATGCGGTATAGGTTATATTCACGACCGAGCCTTCGCCTTTGAAAGGCAGTTGCGGTTTAAACAGCCAGAGTTCCGGCTGGAAAAGATTGACATGCGACTTTGGCGCTCCCTGCCAGGGGCAGTAGGAGCCTATGATAAAGAAAACGAGACAGTGAGAATGTACGACCCCAAAGAAATTCGTTGTTGCATTGTCGCCTCAATTTTTTTTTTCGCTGTTGCCTTTTTCTTTGAGAGTTTATTGGAGGTCTGCCAATAACACTTGTGCCGGATGTTCTGGAAATGAAAGGAAAGGACTTTCAAGTTTCAAGTTTCAACCATTTGACTTTTTTTTTTTTTTTTTTTTGCACCTTGGAGTGGCTTTGTGCATGGACATGTTGTGGATGTGGTCCAAAGGCCGCATGTCCATGTATTTGGACTGTTTTGCACCCAGATGACCATCGTCCTGTAGATGGTCCTGTCGATCCCAGTGGTGGTAAGAGGCCACTAGCAAAGCCTTAGATGGTCCTGTCCTTAAGGGAAAGGAATTCAAAATTTCAAAATTCAAATCAATTATGGGACTGTCGTCATTGGGGGCAAATTTGAAATTGGCCAATGCAAGGCTATAGTGTTTTTTTTTTTCTTTTTTCCTTCCTTGTCCCTCCTGCCTGGGATATATTTAACATCTGTGCGGAAACAGGAGAAAAAGTAAAAATAGAAAAAATAGGAAGTGGAAACTGAACGTGAGAATTTCAGAACCAATCTGGAACTGGACGCTGCCGTGACCTTCTAAGCCACCGAATTGCTGCACGGTGCATCTAGTATGGTGTTTGCTGCACTGTCTAGTATATGCCTTGATGCACTTTGTGGGATATCTGATGGCAAAGGACAGGAAAAAAAAAGACTAGTTGTTTCGACTTTGCAGGGTGTGTTCCTTAGGGGAAGCTGTCCAAGTTCAGAATCAGTAGGGGTCTCCCCTCTCCCGCCGCCCCGCCCTTCCATTTCGTGTGTCCTATCTTCTCTCTGGGCTATCCCTCAGTCCTTGGCAGTGCATTATGTCATGCAGAACTGGGTGCTGTATCTGTTGCAAACACCTCAGAGCAGGGTAGCGGACGACCCTGACCGCCGATGCCGACCGCCAACCGATCCGCAGGCAAGCATTCAGTAATGATCAGTCGGCGGACCCCGTCCAGTGGGTCGCGGTCGATCGACTGAGAAGGCAGTGGTGGGGCTGTGCATGCCCTGAGCACCTGGAAACGGCTATGAAAACAATGTTCCCTGCTTGGGTTTTCTGTGGGTGCGGTGTCATCGGAAAGCTCCTGGCTGTGTAGCCTTACAAATGAGTTTTTGAACTCCCCACATCATGTGTGTGCGATTATGGGCTTCATGTCAGCGAGAGTGTGAACGAGGGTGCACCAACTGGAATCATGAAACCTGCTTGGTCTGGATGTTGGCTGACAAGAGTAGGTGTCCTCTGCCTGCATACCTCCACATCATGCGTGTGCGATTACGGGCTTCATGTCAGCGAGAGTGTGAATAAGGGTGCACCAACTGGAATCATGAAGCCTGCTTGGTCTGGATGTTGACTGACAAGAGGTGTCCTCTGCCTGCGTACCTCACTCACTGTCCATCAAGAGCAGGCCCACTTCGAAGTGAATTTTTTTTTTGTTTTCTATTGTAATTAGCGAAATATTTTGAAGCGAAGTTAGTTTTAAAGTTTTGAAAATTCAAACGTAAAACCGGATTATGTTGCCATTTTTTCAATTGGGTTTTGCTGCTTTTGGTTATGTTATTCTGTGAGACGTTCGGGGATTGCGATGTTGATGCTCATAAACTCAATGGCTATGGTGTGATGTTGTTAATGGCTGGGCGATGGAGCAGGCCACCTGTCACTGGTGCAATCGGAGGGTCAGTGCTGGGGGCGGCAGCATTCCGGCTGTTGACGCACAGCCTGCAACAAAGAAACGGAGTGAGCACGCCGCCACTGATGCAGAACCCGAACCAACCACCACAGATGCTTCTGTCTGGAGGAGTGGGAGGGGCGGGAGGCGGCCAAGGAGCGAGAAGGGGTTTTGGCATGGGATTGCTGGGCATGCAGTCTCCCTACCAGCAGGGCCAGCCCTCCGGGCATAACCAAATAGGTGCCCCAACTGGGTCCGGGCGGCATGCACAGGGTGGGGGCGGCTTAGGAGCACAGGCAGGCGCCTTGGGACAATCCGCCGCACCTGGTGGGCCTTCGCCCTCGACCGCAACGCAATCGCAGCAAGGCTCGTCCCGAGGGATATTCCCTGTGAATGGCTACTACTCTGCGGTCCCTGGGCAAGGCGGTACCTCTTCCTCAGCAGGAGGGATCATCAGCGGCAGGGGCGCCGGTTTGTATTCCGCACGGTACCAGGGCGGAGGTCCACCGATGCCCCCATCTTCTTGGGGAAGGGGGCGTTTGGGTGCGCAGGGGCATGCTGGATTTGGACAGCAGCAGCAACAACAGCAGCAGCAGCAGCAACAGTTCCAGGGTTCGCTACAGTATCCGACGGGAAGCTACCCTGGGGGTAGAGGGGCTGGCTCACAGGGACGAGGCGGCAATTCGGGAAGACAGTGGGGTTGAAAGGGGGGGGGGGGGGGGGGGGGGGGGGGGGGGGGGGGGGGGGGGGGAAGGGGGAGGGGGGGGGGGGGGGGGGGGGGGGGTTGAGGGAGCATTTGATTGATTAGACTAGGGAATCTGGGTGTTTTGAAGCTCAGTTTGTGACGAGAGAGAGAGAGAGAGAGAGAGAGAGAGAGAGAGAGAGAGAGAGAGAGAGAGAGAGAGAGAGAGAGAGAGAGAGAGGTGTGGGGGGGGGGGGGGGGGGGGGGGGGGGGGGGGGGGGGGGGGCGACGGGGGGAGGACAGGAATGGGTCCTAGAAAATGAATCGAAGGCCATGCGTGTTGCATGCCACCGCAAACTGGCAGAGACTTCGATGGAGTGGAAGGATTGTCATTCACTTGCATGCAGCATATGCTCTGTTGTTTTAACTTGTTTATGTTCACCCAGTATGCTCTGCTGGGGGGGCCTGCAATCGGCTGAACAGCATACTCTGCTGGGGGGGCGCAATTGGCTGAAGGGTCATTTTACCAGAGAGGAGGCAGGGCTGGCTCACAGGGACAAGGTGGCAATTCGGGAACACGGTGGGGTTGAAACCGGGGCGGGGGGGGGGGGGGGGGGGGGGGGGGGGGGGAGAGGAGGCAGGGCGAGGAGGAGAAAGTGTCCTACAAAAGGAAAACGGAGGTCATGTGTGTTGCATGCCCGTGCTAACTTGCAGACTTGAGGATCATGCAAGTGGAAGGCTTGTCATTCCCGTGCGTGCAGCATGCTCTGTCGGTTACCTGCACCCAGCATACTCTGCTGGGGGGCGCAATTGGCTGAAGGGTCATGTCAGCAGTGGAGGAGGTAGATAGCTAGATCTCTTTTTTCTTTTCTCTCTTAGGGAATCAATGGCTTCGTGTTTTTGCGCTGAGGTTGGTTGTCTGTGCAGCCAAGTAGGTGGCATGTCATCCCTGTCGGAGCTACGAGGGCATACAGGGCCACGGGAAAAGGGAATGGGATCTGGGTCGTCACGTATGAAAAAGCGGGAGTCTACAGGGGGGTTGTTGGAGGTCGTCGGGGGGCGAGGAGGTTCTGACGCTTGTTCGCAGAAGCGCCAATGGAGGCAGGATTTTGGACTGAGGGAGAGGGGCCAAGCTCATGCTTATGGTTGTAATAGGATTCGGAAGATGGTTAGCTCTAGACGATCGTCACGAAGTGCTATGCTGTATAGACGATCATCGCGATATGCTATTATGCTGTATAGCAGCTCCTTGCTTGTTTTCTTCTGGCGGATCTGTGCTCGTAAATAGCTGCTTTCCATGAAAAGCTGTGGTAATCAAATTGCAATTCCTTGCTGTTTGTTACTTCGCAGATTCTCCCACACCGATCAGTGGGACTGGCACTGCGAGTATTGATGGTCCTAAATTTGATTTTCAGTTCCAAATGATGATCCTGATGTGATGGCAGATACCGCTTGGTTGTCGAAACGGTATATTCGGAGGATTCGTAGTGTGCAGATCTGAGGGTGACGGTGGTATTTCTTTCAGTTGTTTCTCTCCCTCCATGCATACATGTCGCTTGATGCAAGCATCCCAAAGGACAAAATTGGCGCGCTTCACAGCCGTTTGCTCTAGACAGTGATGATATCTGCTTTCTTTGAGAGTTTGGTGCTTTCTCATTGCAGCAGCAGAAAATGAACAGTGATGCTTTATGGCAGTTTATGCAGTTTTGCCGGGAGTTTCAAGCATTTGCGCACGTGTTTGCTTGTCGGCAGCAGAAGACGAGCAACACCCACCCACCCCACACAATGGCTCTCAAGTATAGAGCTAGGAAAAATGCATACCTAGGCGAGAAGGTCTCGAGTTCCTTTCCAATTGCAGCACCATGTAAAGTTATTTCCAGGCTTTCGATTGCTTCTCTGTCTTGAAGGTGAGCTTTGTGCCTACCAGGCTCTCTCTCATGCTCTCTCTCTCTCTCTCTCTCTCTCTCTCTCTCTCTCTCTCTCTCTCTCTCTCTCTCTCTCTGTGTGTGTGTGTTTACATTTTCCTTTTTTTTTTCTTCTCATGGGGGAGTGTGCTTTTCTGCATTGTTCATTGCTCTAATTGCGAGATTCATCCACTTGTGTACCAAACCATGTGAAAATCCCAATCCTGATTTCTTTCTATCTCATTCACTGCTGATATCAAGATTGGTTGTGTACCGAATGATGATAAATTATGGACCCCGATTCCGAGAGCCCGCTAGGATTGACAGGATTGACATGTGACTGTAAAGAAATTCAAGTTTTTCGTTCATTCAGAGCGCAATTTTTTGTTTGCCGTTGCTTCGAGTTCCCATAACGCGATGCAGGCATGTATGAATGCGGCTGCTGTGTGACATGTGCCCTCGAGATCTATTTTGTGTTTTAAACTGTTTTTCCTTTTCGTTTGTTTGTATAATACTTCTGGATCACGGTTCCACTAGCAACCGAGTAAGGTATATTGGCCCACGGCAACACCTGTGGGACGTCTGTGAGACATCCGCCAGCCGTTGGTGCATCGAAATCTGAGTGTGCAGCAAAATCAAGATGTTTGTATATTTCGAAGTTGTGTTTTAATTTACTTTATTCTTGTCTTTTTTTTTGTGAGTAAAAGGATGTGGGGAAGAGAAATAACAAGTCTCTTTTTGATTGGTGGGTGTCGAGAACAAAAAAAATAAAAACAAGTACCTTCAAACGTCGACCTCCTCACCAATTTTTTTTTCTAAATTATGTCTTTTAAATTTATTTATTTCTCTTTTCTCAACCTGTCGCACAGGTCATAATAGTCCATGACTCGTTTGCTAGTGGAACCGTGCTCATGCATAAAAAAATTAAAAGAAAAATAGAAATAATAGAAATAATAGTAATAATAATAGTAACAATAATAATAATAATAATAACAATAATAATAATAATTACCCCTGCATAAATACCTATGCTGCCGTCTTTATTCCACTCTCCTTACGTTGCCGTCGTCATCCTTTCCATCTTTCCTCTGTCTTAAACCACCAGCACGTCCTAAAGTCATGCCGGACATTGCCGGTTAACAAGCCACAATTTTAGGAAACGTACTGGCCACTACAGGAGCGCCCAAATTCATCCGACTAGAAATGTTTCTACTCTTTTTTATTTTCCGCGGCCTATAGCTGGGCCAGGTATTGGTGGTTTAAACCGCTATAGCACACGGTCCCAGCCTTGCAGAAAATGTTTCGTCGCCCGCTTCGAAAATTCCGCGCCTCGGGCCTACCGGACCATAATGGTTGGCAATGCCAGCAAAAAAAAAAAAAAAAAAAAAAAAAAAAAAAAAAAAAAGTGCGCCCCTGACGGTTGGGAAAGCTTGGTGGGTGCAGTGGAGCGCCTCCAGGCCTGGGTGTACTGGCGGACTGTTTTTCGCAGTGTGCAAGTGGGCTGTTATGGCACGGGTGTATTCTGGCAGCTCATGCTCACCTACATAAATGCTGCAAGCCCTTGTATGTGACAGGCATGGTAAAGGGAGAGGAGCTGAAAGGGGCGGAAGAACGGTTACAGTGTGCCTTGTGCTATTTGCTCTTTACTTGTATTTTTTTCTCTTCATGTTTGCGTGTTTTCTTGTTTTTGTTTCTCTTCATGTTTGCGTGTTTTCTTGTTTTTTTTTTCTCTTCATGTTTGCGTGTTTTCTTGTTTTTGTTTTGGGGTAACTTCAGTAGGGTCACAAAAACGAAACGACCGAGTTATAATTGCACTATAATGGGGCAAGATACAGTTTGCAATTGCACTTCGGGCACCCCACCTGGCTAGAAAGCGGGGTTGTATACATCGCCCGAACTGCAATTCGAAACTGTATCGTGGCCCAAAGTGGAATTATACCTCGTGTAAAGTGGAGTTATACCTTATTGGAAACAGAATACTCGCTGCCATCTTGGCATTCACCCACAACAGACATCTGTGGTTTACGTCGTGCAAAGTGATAAAAGAAATGGGGAAAAGTTATAAACCCCCCCCCGCCCCTCCCCCAATCGGACAAACCCTTTGTACTCATTTGCCCCCAAATGGGGCAAAACTGTTGAAAAGTGCTGCAGACCCTAAAATGACGTTTGCCATCATTTTTGCATTCTGTAAAAACCCTTTCCCGCCCCGTCATTTTTGCATCGTTTAAAACCCTTTCCCGCCGCTTTTGGACAGCGGCCGTCACCAGCCCAGCCAAGGTGCAAAAATGAGACGAAAGCGTCGAAAACGCGGAAAAGTCATTTTGGGGCTTGTGACACTTTTTGCCTTGTTTGGTGGGGGGAAATGAATACAAAGGTTTTGTCACGGGCAACGGGAGGGTTTTACAACTTTTCGGCATTTTCGCAAAGAAACGGCAATAGAGTGGCAACAGAGTAATATACTCGTAACTTGTAAGGGCCAATGTGAAATGCAATGGGGTTCAAACTTCAAACATAAATGCCGAGTACGGCCAATGTGAAATGCAATGGGGTTCAAACTTCAAACATAAATGCCGAGTACGCTTTTAGGCGCTTCGGAAATAGTCGCGGTATCGTGGATGTCTTTAAACCACCAGTACTTCCTAGAGTTGTGCCTGTTAAACCACTAGTACCTTTGTCGGTTAGAAAATACTCGGCCTCCGACCTTTCAGGAGGCCGAAACGAAACGACAACCGTCGATCGGATTTATCAATGGCTCGTCGTTCTTGCATTACATCCGCTTCGCAGACGATTTTCTAGTAGCAATCTCTGGTCCACGATCAGAAGCAGTGAAACTGAGATCTGAATTGGAATCGTTCCTTAGAGACATGATAGGGTAAAGTCAGAGGATCGTTAACGCTGCCACCTCGATATGACACTAGCAGGGGGTAGACCATAATAGAAAATGCCCTCGTGATAACACAATCAATAACTAATATCCAACTGGTGTGAAAGGGGGGATGGGCCAGAGGTTTTCCCTTGCAGGAATCGGCCCGGTAGCGAACTTGTGCAAGTTACTGGACCGATATAACCTTCGCCCCTCAATATGACACCAGCAGGGGGTAGATAATGCCCTCATGTTCAAAATGCAATTGACAACCAACTGGGGTGCAGGGAGGGATGGACTGGAGGTCTTTCCCCGGCGGGAATCGGCCCTCCGCTGTGACGGGGGGGGGGACAACATAACCCCTAAAAAGGGTAACAGTAGGTAAAAAAAAAAAGAAAAAAAAGAAAAAGAAAGGAACATGCGTCCGGGTTGGTCACGGTAGTCTCTTAGGTAAGACCTCACTCAGGGTAGACCAGTAGACACTGCCTAGGGCAGCTGAGTGGAGTGGTCGTCGTCTGACTAACCTGGGCTGGTGCTCAGAGGAAAGTGCGACCGAAGTGCTGAGCCATGTGGTTCGTTCAATAGTGCTTCGGCTAGGGCTGGAAGGGGGTTTGTCCTGACCTAGCGCTGGTGCCGCCAGCTGCTGTCCGGTACATCCGTGGTGGGCTAACAGTGGCCCCAGATATAGAGAAACATTCAGGTAGGAAGGAAGGGGTGGGTCCCTTTTTTTTCCTGTTATTTTAGGCCAGGACAACCCCCTTCCAGCCCTAGTTGGACTACTGAACGAGCCACGTCGTACAGGCACGTCTGCCGCCAAGCGTAGCCGACCTAGACACTTTCCTACCAGCACCTGTCCACGCTGTCGCCAAACATAGGGCGTCGCTGCACTACTCTGGACATGCACAAAAGACAAAAATCATGGGGGGTGAAGATTCACTCTCGTTTTGCACATTTCGAGAGTAGTGCAGCGAGGCCCATAGTTACGGTAATCGTTCAATACACTTTCCTATGAGCACCAGCCCAGGTTAGCGAGATAACGAACATTCCACGGGGCTACCCTAGGCAGTGTCCGCTCACTCTACCCTCGGAAAAAAAAAAAAAAAAAAAAAAAAACAAGAAAGGGGAAACTGCTCCTGAGGCACCTTTTGAGTTCAAAAGAGGCAAGAAAAGACAAAGGGGCGCTGAAGCCGCTGATGTCCTTGTTCGAGTTTCAGAATGTCCAAGTTAAGCGGGGGGTTGAAACTGCGCCCCTTTTTTTTCTGAAGTGGCATGAATGCAGATTTAGCAGCGGATTTTTTTGCCCTGTTTCTTTCGAGAACTGCTAGTAAACTGAAGTTGCCTAATATTCCAAATGCTAGGTGTGACACAGGAGGCGTTGCCCCCCAAAAAAAGAAAGGGAGGGGTGGGTATTGTGTCCC